TTATCATCCCCTTGTTTTTCACTAATCCCTATCAATCTTATGTTGTTTTTCTTTGCATCAACTTGCAGTTTTTGAATTGTTATTTCCTGATTCCTTGTTATTTTTAAAAGATCTTTCCTTTCCTGTTCACTAGCTGCCAATTCTGTCTTCAAGGTCTAAAATTCTATCTTCACTTTCATTGAGGCGGCTTTTACAGCTTTCAGTGGAGTTTTTGATTTCCTGTATATCTCGGTGCATCTGCTTTATCTATTGTTTGTTTCTTATATTGCTCATCTAGGGATTCTATCTTTTTGTTTAGTTCCTCCAATTTTTTAGCTGTGTTTTCTTTAGATATGTTCAGCATCTCTTTCATTTCTTTTATCATTTCTTCTTTTACCTGGGAGATTATTTCTAGTTTGAATGCCTTTAAAGCTTCCCGGAGTTGCTTGTTTATTTCAGTTGCTATAATGTCCGATATTTGAGGTGTATCACATATATTTTCTTCTGTGTACATTGCTCCTAAGGTTTCTTGGGATGGGCTGGAGGTTTGAGATTGTAATTTTGTCTTTCGTTTTGTCATTTTCCTATATTTCTGTATTACAAGTGTTTCAAGTGTTATTTGAAAGCTTCCTCACGGTCTGTTGGAAATCCATTTCTATGCCCTCTGCTCCTGGGACTCTGGCACCCAATTCCCCCAGGCCTCTGGGCCTCTGGAACTGATGGTGCTCACCTGCTTGCTTAGAGCTCCACAGTCCCAAACAAGCTGGGCTCTGGGGAAAGTGGACACCCGCCTGCTTGCTTAGAACTCCACAGTTCTTCAAGCACAGCCAGAATGGGGAAGTGGATGCAGGTGCCCCAGACCTGCCTAGCTGTTCTAGTGCACTCAGAAGGCTCGAGGGTCCCAAACAAGCTGGGCTCAGGGGAAAGTGCAAGGGGCACTTACCCCAGGACCCCAGGCCTCTGAAACCGGTGGTGCTCGCCTGCTTGCTTAGAACTCCACAGTCCTCCAAGCACATGGGGAGGCAGATGCAGCCACCCCAGACCCACCTAGCTGTTTCAATGCACCCAGAAGATGCAAGGGTCCCAAACAAGCTGGGCTCTGGGAAAAGTAGGCACCAGCCTGCTTGCTTAGAACTCCACAGTTATCCAAGCACAGCCGGAACGGGAAGGTGGGTACAGGCGCCTCAGACCCAGTGCCAATTGATAAATTTATTGAACAAATTTAGTAGCATAGCTGATTACAAAATCAACACTGAAAAATCAATAGCCTTCCTGTACACAAACAAACTGACTGAGAGAGAAACTGGGGAAACAATACCCTTCACAGTAGCATCCAAAAATGAAATACCTAGGAATAAATCTAAAAAAGTATGTAAAAGACCGCTACATGAAAACTACAATACTCTGAAAAATGAGATTGAAGAAGATGTCACAAAATGGAAAGATATCCCTAGCTCATTGGTAAGAAAACCAATACAGTAAAAATATCCATACTTCCAAAGTTTTACAGATTTAATATAATTCTTATCAAAATTATCCAATTGCATATCTCACAGAATTAGAGAAAGCAACCCTAAAATTCATTTGGAACCAGAGGAGACCTAGAATACCAAAGGCAATTCTGGGAAACAAAGGCAAGTCTAGGGACATCATAAGCCTTGACTTGAAATTATACTATAAACCTACTGTGATAAAAACAGCATGGTACTGGCAAAAAAAAAAAAAAAAAAAAAACAGGCCTAAAGATCAATGGAACTAATGAATCTAAAGTTTAGAGGATGCATAAACAACTCCAGACATAATAAGCCACCTTATCTTTGACAAAAGTGCCAAACACATTCACTGGAAAAAAAAGATAACCTCTTTAATAACTGGTGCTGGAAAAACTGGCTCTGTACACGCCACCAATTAAAATTGGACCCACATCATTGATCATGTACTAAACTAAATTCAAAATGAATCAAAGATCTAAATATTAAAACAGAAACATTAAATCTGATGGAAGGTAGAATAGGTAAAACTTTTGAAGACATTGGTGGAGGCAAAGACTTCATGAATAAAACCCCACCACACAGGAACTATTGTAAAGAATCAACAACTGAGATATCATATTATTAAAAAGCTTCTGCAGAGCAAAGGAAACCACCAAAAGAATGAAGATTTAGCCCATAATATGGGGAAAAAATTGCCATCTGTTCCTCAGACAAAAGATTACTGTCGAGAACATACAAAGAACTTAAAAAAATCAGACCTCCCAAATTTAAAGACCCAATCCAAAAATGAACATCTGAGATGAATACACACTTCTCAGATGAAGAAATACAATCAACAAATATGTATATGAAAATACTTCAACATTATTGATCATTCAAGAGATACAAATTAAAACACCGAGAATTCACCTCACCCCTGAAAGAAAGGCTATCTATTATCAAGAAATCAACCAAGAATAAATGCTAGCAAGCTTGTGTGCAAAAAGTAACCCTTCTCCACTGTTGGTGGGAGTGTAGCCTGATGCAACCACCATGGAAATCGGTATGAAGATTACTTAAACAACCAGGATAGGATGTCCCATTCAATCTCGTTCTTCCTCTCAGGGTTATCTTCCCAGAAGAATTAAAAACATCGTACCAGAGTAATGTACATGCACCCATGTTTATAGCTATACTAGGTGTAATAAATAGATCTTGGAAATAGCCCAAAGGCCCATCAACTAAGAAATGGATTTTTTAAAAAAGATGTGATCTTTTATGCAATGGTGTATTACTCACCCATAAATACAATAAATTTGAGACTTTTATGGGTGAATGGATACAAATTGAGACCATATTCATAAGTTAAATAAACCAGACAGACACTTGTGGACATCACATTGTTTCCCATTTTACAATTACCTATTGTACATTTTGGAACTTATTCACTCTTTCAGTTTCTCACACTAGGGAAACAATATGATGTTTACAAATATCTGTAAGGGAGAAAATGTCTGGAAAATGTCTGGGAAATGTCTGGAAGGGAGAAAACAAGCAATGGAACAGCAAAATTATATACATGTATACACACATATATGCATGTGTGTATGTAGATATGAAAGTTAAGATGATTATACTACTAATTTCTCCTAGTTCTGTGCTAATATTGTTTGGAAAAATAAGTGCTGATATCTTATGTCCTGATTAACTAATTTAAAGATGAAAATATGCAATGTATTAACTATTGTTACCCTTCTACTACCTGGTCTTGGAATTATTCTTCAATCTTTAAATAAAAGTAAAAAACAAAATGAAGAAAACCTGGTGAGATTTGTCACTGGGGAGTAATGAGATATCTCTGACCTAGTAAATTATTGTCAAAGGAAATTTGCTATCAAAGGTTACATTTTGTAAGTCAACAGAAACCCAAGGCTTATTTCACCTTGGAAAAGAGCATTTGGCAAATACATGTTTTTCTGGAGGCAGAGGGAATATATCACTAGATGAATGGTAAATGGAATGGTTTCATCCCTACCACCCTTCTCATTATTTTAAGTTCTACAGATTTACAAGAAGAAATATTGCAAGTAATATTTATATTTAAAGGTATTAAATTCAATTTAAACATAGTCATGATCTAGAATTTTCATAAACATTTTATAATTATATACATGTATAATTCTTATAAAATTCCTGCAAATATATATTAAATATTTCATTTATATATAAACTCTAATACTCTTGCAGCATTTTCGGATAAGGACCAGAGAGGTCAAGTAGTTGCTTATAGTTACACAGATGTAGGATCTAGTATTAGGAGTGAGTCTAGCTCTGTTTGCCTTCAAGCTTTTTTCCAAATTCCTTCTCAGTTCACAGTGGGATACTGCATGAAATTTTTTTTATTTTATTTTATTTTATTTTATTTTATTTTATTTTATTTTATTTTATTTTATGGTACCGGGGATCGAACTCATGACCACACACTCGCAAGGCAGGTGCTTATGCTGCTGAGCTAAATCTCCAGCCCCATGAAATATATTTTAAAAGGAAAGTTATTTCAAATGAGCAGTGTCATCACCACTTGGGTTTAGACACCTGGTAAAGGCATCAGATGGAACTGGGGCCTCTTCCTCCCTGTTCCTCTGTCTCAGCGTGGCCAGCAGTGGTGACTGAAACGCCCCACAGAGAGTTACTGGCTCAGCCACCACTGCATGTAAGACTGCTTTACACCTCCTTTTATGGAAGTGTGATGCAAAAACCAACAATGAGGCATCTATTGACCTTTTCTCAAGCTTGTCCTTGATAATTTAATCATCTCAACCCACTTGTCTTAACTCTGCTCCTTACTGCAACATCCTAAGTAAATTACCAATCTCTCTGAGTTACTCTGTTTATTTAGCTATAAAGTGAGAATCATAATACTACACAGCTCACAGAATAGCACAGATCATAAGTACATGTGCAGTTTCTGTTTCAGCAGTAAATTAAGTTACACATCTTATTAAAATATTTTTTAAAATATGCATCAGGAAATAATTGTATCTCTTTCATACACTTCACCATAAAACTATGTGGTGCCTTCTCCCACTTAACAGAGAGCTAGGTCAACTAGAATAGTGCTTCCAATTCATTATTGAAAGCTAATCCCATAGGTGATGGTATTAAGAAGTGGGACCTTTGGGTCCACCCTCCTGAAAGGGATTAGTAGTCTTAAGAAAAAGTGACTAAAGGGAGGTGCCTTGCTCATTTTGTCCCTCATTTGTGTGAGGACACAGAAATCAGCTTCTATAAGGAATGGGTCTTCTGTGCACCAAATCTGATGGCACCTTGATCCTGGACATGCCAGAGCTATGAATGATGAACTTCTATTGTTTATCCATGGTCCAGGCTAACTTATTTTGTTATGGCAGCCAGAGTGGTGTGAGACAGGGTAGGGTTGAGGCAGGTAAGGGAGAGCAGTGGAAAGGCAGCGGTGCCAGGGTACTTTTGTGCCATCACAATAGAAGGAAGAGGAAAGTGCAGTCCTGCTGGAATCACTCAGCTTGAGACCAGAGATGCTGCTGAACAGTGCATCAGGGAAGCTCAGCATGGGGTGTTCCCTTTGTGCCTTCAAATCTGGTGTCTTCAGCTGCAGACAACACTGAAGTAGAGTTTCTGTCTCCTCCAGGGCTATAGAGAAATACACTGTCTCATCATTCTAGGGATTTCTTCTGTTTGTCAAGGTATCTTCCTCAGATATTATTTACTTTACTGCTTTCGGAAAGTATTATTTCAAATTATTTTGGAGAAGAATTAGTGAGATGTATGCAAATTCAACAGATTTAATTATGTCTAGGTGAATCTCTCCAAATTCCCACCTGATATGCCATCTTCCCAATTGTCCACTCAGTTATTTGAAGAGTTTTGAGTTGTCACTGCTCAACTTTATCTACCACCCAGAATGGTGTCATGAACAGATAAATGAGGTTTATGATGATTATGATAATGACCTTTCAGCACCTGAAATATTAAAAGGAATCACAAAGTAGAATGCTGGCAATCCATCAATATATGATAAGCTCTTATTGAGCTCTGATAATGAACTTCACTCCATGTCAGATGCTGTGGGGAAAGAGAAATCTGTCTTATGCTTCTTTTTTATCCTTTGAAGAGTCTTTAGTCAAGTTCAAAAAAATAGTGATACTTTAAAATATGAAATGATTGTCTAGGTGTGTGTTCTTAAGTACTTATTTTGGCAGGACCATTAAGTTGTGGTGGATTTCTCATGGTAACTAGATAAAAATATTTTACATTATCAGGGTTTTTAATTTTAATAAATAATGAAATCCTGCCTTACAATCATTGAAAAATGAAGCTGTTTCCTTTAAACTCATTTAATTTTAATTTCTAAAAATAGTTTCCAAACATTAATATAGTGATTTTACTTCCTGAATATAATGAAAGTCTGGCTTGAGATTGACAATGAACTTGGTAAAACCCCAGTATATCTAAAATCAACTTTTTGTATTCTGGTTTAGTTTTCAGGTTTAAAAGATCTATGGATTGCAAATAAATTTGAATTTGTAAATTTGAGAAACAAGAGAACTGTTTCTCAATTTATCATACTAACTCAATGATACTGTCCAGCCCAAAAATTGAACTGATTTTTTACAATAAACAACCAAGCTTGTCAACAAGAGATCAGATGTTCTCCAGAAAAACTGCATATGAAAAGCAAAGATGTAAGCTAGTTCCCTGGACTTTTCTCTGGGTATACCTTTGTATACAAAGGGGATATCTGGCTCAGAGACAGCTTGGAATGTATTTGTGTGTTATGAAGAGACACCCAGCATTCTTAACTTTCAGGGTGGCAATTATCTTCACAATTGCATGCACATAGAGAAGAAAATATCCTCCAAATTACATTGTGAACTCTGGAGACTAGTGTATCATTTCATGGACAGTTGAACCTATGTCCCATATAAATGTTTCCATTGCAAAACCAAAAACATCATTATGCTGTCTTCTATATTTCCAAGGAGTTTGCATTAAGGTTTTGCCACCTGATTTCCATTACAGGGAATTGGAGTCAGGGAGCTAAAACTGCAAGCCATGCTTTGAAAATTTAAGGTAATGTGTCAGTGTCTGGACTTAAACATTCATCTTGGTGCTCTTTGGTGGCCATTGAGTGTAAGAATCATTGCCTCTTCTATGTCATTTGGGAATGGAATTATATAAAAAATTGTATCTGTGTGGTCATGTATATATGACATAAAACATATAGATAGAGAGCACTTTAAGCCTGCAAGAGGGGTTTAAAATGCTTTATAGTTTCAAGTCAACCTCGGAATACTTGACCCTAAAGGAAAATTTAAATAACGACTTCCTGTGTTACTGAAATTATGAATTAAGTCAATGTTCCTCCACTCCATTCAGAGTTACTAATTTCAGTGTGGAGAAACTCTCTAACTCTGAGCTGTTGGATCAGCTTGAGAAGATTTCTTCTGGCTCTTGGCTACCTCTCCCTTACCCCACCTCCACCCTCTCCTTTTCTTACCCTCACTGAGTCATGCACTTCATTTATACAACACCAAGTTTGTGGGCTCAGTTTCATAATTTCTGATCCACTGTGCTGCGGACGTTTGTGAGTAGAGCTCTGAGAGTTTCATTTATTGTGAGCTAGTTTCCCTGTGTTTTTCCTTCAGCCCTACTGAGTTCAATCTATTTGCTTTACATAGATATTTAAGTATACCTCTGATACATTAAAGAGTACAAAATGCTCCATAATGATTATACATTCTGACCAATTTCCTAGAGAGCATGAAACTATAAAACAGCAATAACAAGAGTGAAATACAAAGAGTAAAAAGCCTAAAGCAGGAAGGAAAACAAGAGGCACATTCAGGCAGATGCTCAAATCCAAATATCTGCTACTCTGCGAGACTTATCTCTCCATGAGCCTTATGTTGTTGTTGCTACTGTTGTTGGATTTGTTTTGGTTGGTTTTTGTTTGTTTTATTTTGTTTTGTTTCTGGTTCTTTGTTGTTTTGAGACTGCTCTGGGCTCAGGTTAGTTCCTGACCCTATTAATAACTTGCCACTGAAATAACCACATCACAGTTCAGTTTCATTGCTTGGAGTTATATTAAGATATTATGATTAGGAGTGAGTAAAATAAACCAATTGCAATGGATTTATTGTGTGAGTTCTAGGGAGAGGATGCTTTAGACTGGAAAGTATATTATTTGAAATGTTCAAAAAGGTGTCTAAATCACCAAATGTTGTCAGTAGGAAATGTCAGGGTCGTAAGCAAATATTGTGGTACCAGCTGTTCTGCCAACTGACCAACAGTTAGGACAACTCTAAAACTTCATTCAACTTCGGACCACCTGAGAGCTCAACCATCAAGGTAGATTCCATCCCTTCAGGATTTGCTGCTTCAGGTATCAGCAATACTAAGTTTTTTTTTATAACATCTGGAAATCCTGAAAGGCCCATCTGTTACCAAGGGCTAAAGGTTCATGGATTAGTCTCATAGCAGTAATATTCATAATATACTGATGCCTACACTTACAACACTGAAAAAGGCACTCATTTATATTATAGACTTATTTTTAAAGCCGAACTACTCTTTTCAAACTGGAATTTCCAAAGATACCAAATGGAGTTCATGAGTTTTAAAGTTCATATTCTTCAAGATAAATCACTTTAAAAATCATTTTTCTATTATAAGTAATGGGATCACAATGCAGAAGTGCATTTTTTTTCAAATTGTTATGAGTACGTGTTTCCAGAACACATGATTAAATTAGTTTGGGGGAATGATACATGTACATAGCACATCTTAATCCTTCTGTCTCAGATCCCTCCAGTAAACTTTATTATTAACTCACCTTTTTCAAAGGTGATTAGTCTTCCCAACATAAGGAAAAAATAAGTTCAAACAAATGAAATTATCATAGCCCTGTGTAATCATTTACACAATTTGAAAGTAAAATACCTTGCAGAACTTTGCTCAGTAGCAGTATCATACCTGATAAGGTTTATTCGAGCAAGTAATTGCTAATTTGAAGCTACATAATAGGTAGGCAAAATAACAACCTCCAGACAGGTCCGTGTCCTAATCCTTGGGTCCTGCAAAAATGTTAGGTAACATGGCAAATGGATCGTTAGTGATAAAATTAAAATTGCAGAACTTAATACAGAAAATTTAATTCTAGTATCCAAATGACCCCCCAAGTAATAACATGGATCCTTAATAGTACAACAGTAACAGAAAAGCCAGGTAGATGCAATGGAAAAAGAAGTAAAAGAGATATAAACGTAAGACAGAGGCAATCTTCAAGGAACTTTAGTGATAAAGGAAAAGAACCGAGCCAAGGAACATGGAGTCAGGTAGAATCCTGGAGCAAACCTCCACTGATATCACCTGCAAGTCAGTCTCAGTCCTACAAATGCAAAGAACTGAATTCTGCCTGCAAGAAACAGTCTCCTCCAGAAACTCCAGAAGGTATACAGTCTTGCTGACCCCAATTTCAGCCCAATGAGACCAGCATTGGACTTCTGATTGCAGAACCATGAGATGACACATTTGTGTGGGGCCGTTTGTTGTTGCTGCTGCTTATGATTTAATTTATTTAAAATTACTAAAACAGTCTGACACAGAAGTCAGAAAATAGAAAGGCAGTTACCAGAGGATGCAGAAAGGTGATATTTGGAGACTTACTGTTTCATGAGTGAAGTTTCAGTTTAGGACAACAAAATGTTTCCAGAGAAGGCGAAAGGCAATGTCACATCTTAAACTGGTTACGAAAAGTATCTGCTCCTAAAATCATGTGAACAAAATGTTAACCATGCTTATTTCTACAGCAAGTAATATAAAGGCTAATTTTATTATTCCCTTTATAATTGTTCTTGATATCTCAACCTATATGAATAAATATAGCGATGTTTAGAAAAATATTAATAACTTTGTAACAACATATGAATGTAGTTCCCCAAGTGATAGGAGAATCCAATTATTGCTCACCAATAATCAGTAAAATTAAGTAATCTTGTGAAAAGTATCTTTAAAAAGGAGTCATAGTCTCCTTTTAATGCAATACTTTTACAACTATAAAATAGTTGAATGCAAAGTTATTGAGATTTCATTGAAATAATTAAATATTTAAAGAAAGGTACACTGATGAGGGCTTTGATAAAAATCAAAGGAAGAGCTTTGAATACCAATGGCCCATTTTCTCTTTTTTTCAGCTAATACAGGTAAAAGTTTATGCTTTTTATGTCTAAGGTGATGTAACGTGTTTTAAATAAGGAGTTATAAGAGGTCTTTCATTTTCCTTCATAAGCTAATTTAACAAAAAAACTTCAGAAACTCATAAATGACTAATATAGTATAGGGCTTCACCAAATGATATAACAAAAGTAATTCATAGTGGTGTTTAATTTATTCATTTTTCTTTTATTTTTACTTCTGTTGCATCCTGATGCAACCTTGATGCATAATATTTTCGTTGGCATGGACTTATGAGTATTCTTGATGAAATTAGAGAGAGGTATGTGCAGTATCATGAAATGACAGCATAGTTTAGTATGAACTCCAAAAGGAATTTTGTTAGACTAGAAAGAAGTCTTTGAGTATAATCATTTTTAAATATATCACTAAAACTAGTCTATATCCAGGTTTGCAACAAAACAACATTTAATCTTTCTATAATAATAATATCTTTCATAATCTTAGAAAC